TATATATATATATATATATATATATATATCTATATTTATATCTATAAACAAAGTTTCACAACACATAGTACTATATAAAAGACATATTTTAATATAAGTAGATATCGTAATTAGTTCGGCAAACATATTTTATATTTTTGTACGAAGAGTTTAATAAATATTAATGTTTAATGTAAGGTATAAATTAATGCAAGAAGAAACGCGCGTAATTTCATTGTTAATAATAAAACGATGTTCCACTGGCAAGTGTAACATATATTAGTGTTTCATTGTATATGTCTAAGATATTTTAACAGTTTTTAGTCATGGGTTGTGAAATAGATATTATTATCTTTCGTTGTATGATTCTTTATATATTGTTGACAGTTCGAATGTGACTGATTTCATATGAGATACGTATGTATATATTATATATATAAATAAAATTTTTATTTGTTATTTAATAAGTAATAAGTTACACAGATATATATTTGTATCTTTAAATAAAGGGATATGTAGTTTTAATGTATAAAACAATAAATTTTATTTAATATTACAATCGCGTTTATTATATTAATCACTCGTATAAAAAATTATATCGCACAAATATATAATATTTATTTTATCATATATACATATATCGTATGCAGTGCACTTTTTAATCCAATTCATAATCCGTTCGTTTTCGTTTCTTAAGATTTACAGCGCTCTGTGAAGTTTCAATAATGCATGAACCTTTTCTTAACCATTCGTTCAATTGTACTTTGGCATTTCTGCCTGTGAGAAACAAGTCTCTCTCTAATCTTGGCAGTAAGCTGTTAAGCATAGGATCAGAAACAGGATTTTGTGCCCAGTCCATAATCAATCTAAATCGCGATCTAAAAGTCTGAAAAACACAGAACAATTAAACAATGAATGTAAACTAATGAATAGTTTAAAGTTAATACCACTTACTAATAGCAAACTATCAATTATCATTTCGCAATCACGATTGTTGAATTTCCTCAAATACATTCCTAGTTCGTAATAATATGGATTCCATTTATTTAGTACAACAGTACAAGCATCTGCTAATAAAATTTCTCTATAATAAATATGAGAAGCAAATTGTTAGAAAATTCTCCTTATCAGAAATTAATTCTATTACGTGTATACAAACTAGTACAAAGCCTTCCAGTACCTGTAGCCTTCCTTATATGTTTTGGGAATGTCTACACTGACTATTGATTCTCTTACTTTATTTAGTGGTTGCGCTAACCACAATGGAAGTTCCAACTTCGCACCTGATTTTAGATCCTCTGACTCAGAGGATAGATCCAGGAAACCTATGTACAATACAATGTAAAACGATCATATGTATAAAAATAAACTCTATTTTCTATACAAAACATATACAACATGAGGAATAAAATATTTGATGTTTAGAATAAAATTAGCTGTTTAATTTTGTTGCAATTTTTATTATAATTACAAGTTAAAACTTGATTAATAACTATATTATTGTAAGAATAACTATATTATTGTAACTATACACAATTATGTAAAATAATCATTAATATTTATAAGAAATAAATTCTTATTTTTTACACAATAAATCACATTAACATAAGGAATAAAATATCTGTCTAGGAAAAATTAATTGATAATTTTATTGCAACTTTAATTATAATTTCAAATTAAAATCTTAATTAATAAGTATATTACGCAGAAATGTCCGTCTGTGAATAAAAGAAGTACAAGAAGAAGTCTGCTTGTTTTTGTTATAATGTTATATTTAAGTCTAATAAACAATCTGTGTTTTAATAGAGAAAAGGTGTAATAAAATTTTGATCAGCTTACCTAAGCGAGGTAGCGTAACTTCTATCTTGCACGATATTCGTTCTTCCGTACACAAAATATCCGTTAGGGAAAAATAATCCGGCACATAACTATAAGACAACGTCATTCTGCCTTTTCTAATATTGTTTTGAAAATCTCAACAGCCTCCGTCATTGCATCTGTATATTTGCACTTGCTGATCAATAATCAGCGCCTCTTACGAAATAATATTGCATTTCTTTACCTCTCTTTTTTTCCTTCTCCTTTGATAAGAAACTTTGATTATGGATTAACATGGAATGGTAATGTAGGGGACACAATTTTTTACCTACATCGAGAACCTTTAGACACTTTTATGCATGTGTATGAAGTATATGTATTAGTGCACTACTTGTATAAGCGCAGTACTTTTTAAATTTTATAATTTCATTGTGTTTAATTATGCTAAGTTTAATTATGCTAATTATGTAACTTCATTCCATATTTCAGAAAATAAAAAAAATTATAATTTTTACAGCCCCGCACTTTCCGAATTTTGAATTTTCTTTAATTGTGTTGTATTACACTTTTGTATACAAAAGTGAAGACAATGGTTTATAAAATTTAAAGTACAATTGAATAAAGCTATTTGAATCCAATGACGGTAATTCTGTGAACGCGGTAAATTTAAACCAGCTATCAACATCTTTTCTACCATATTTCACCGTATGCTCTCTAAATAAACTTAACTTGCTTGGTGCAGATATTTTAATTTTGTTCATCTACGAATAAGAATTTTTATTTAAAAAATATTTACACACACACACACACACACACACAGAATAGGGTTCTAAATTTAATTTAACGCATAAATTTTTGTTTTATTCGATTGTATTGACGACACAATGAGATAACATAAATAAAATACTATCACTTGTTACAAGGTCGTTTTATAATTTATTAATATTCCTTAAAAGTATTAAAATGTATTTTAATTTATAACTTAAAAATGATATATATTATCTTCTGTTTTACTTATTACTTACTTGATAAAGTATAAATAGACGTGCTTTTATTAAAAATTCAAAATAGATAATTTATATTAGCAATACAATTATCTACTTATTTTTTATCACTTTCATCAATAATTATACGGTCAAAAGTTTTTCTCAAGTCGCTAATAAACGGTGCGAAAGGTAATAATATCTGCTACATGAAATACATATTTAGTATTTAGTTTTATATATATATATATATATCTATATAGAATATATAGAGGGTGCCTCGCAATTTATAAGTCAAAATATCATAGCAAAAAAATTTTTGAAAAAATAAGCTATAAAAATATTTATCGTTTGTCGTTCTGAAAAGTAATTTTAAGTATACATATAGGTTTAAAATTGGCAAATTATAGATTACGGTTAATCGGTCACCTGTTCATGAGTCACGCATCGATAACTACATACGCTTACAGATGTTAAATAAAAGAATGTGCAACGCCTGCAGTAATGATACCATATGTAATATTTGTTTTAAAGTTGTTTAGTCAATGGTGTTAACAAATAATTGTAACGCGATTAAAAAATAACTATAATTTATCGAAATTATATACTTAAGTATTATATATATACATATATATATATTTATATACACACATATATTATATTAGATATTCCAGAATTCACTACTCAAAATATTATAGCAAGAATACTATAGTCTTGAAAAATTAAGTAAAAAAATTATGTGTAAATATTTATTTTAAATAGTGTTTTTTTAAATATAAGGGCATAAATAAAGCTAATTACAGACTATGTTTAAGGCTCTGGCTACCTGTCGTACGTGCAGTAGTATTAACAACTATCTAAATATAATCTATAATTGGTTACAAACTTTATTACCTTGAAAGCGACTACTTAAAATAAACTTATTTTTTTGCTGTATTATTTAGAGCGAATTTTGGGACATACGTATATTACCATTATACGCTCGACATTCCTCATTCGCGGGTGTTATCTGCCCATGAATTGTTGCAAATATGGAATGGTTAAATGTATGATAATATATGATATAAGTTTATATGAGATAGATTCTAAGAAAAATATTAAATTAAACAAAAAATTTAAGAGAAGACTATTATTTCTATTTAAAATAAGAAGATGCAATGTATATGCAATGTATATAATATATATACTCGATATATATTTTTAATTAATTTTTTATTGTTAATTAATATAAAACCTAGTTATTTTATATAAGTAATATATATACATATGTAGTAGTAAACATCAATACATTAACTATAATTATAAAGATTGCCTATATAGTAACAAGTTAGGAAAAAAACCATTGGTTTGCTCTACTTGTAGTGTAGAGCACGAGCTTAGTCGTACAAGGACTTTGAAATAGTGATGACTTAAAAAATGTCGTGGATATCGTATACGCAAGTGTGATATGTACATAATTTTTCGCTAGAGTGATTAACATAAATAATAATACATTTTTTTTTACTTATTGTGAGAATATTTTTATACATTTATATATTTTTTAAGCACATGTCACGAAATGTAGGGAAGTCCAAATTCAAATCCTAGTTAAGATAATATTTTTTTGCAATAAATTATTTATAGTTTTAAAGATGTTTATTAGCATTAAGTTATTTACAGTTTTCCAAAGTGCTTATTAGCAACAATATTATTAAATTGTTTGTCAATTTATATAATTTGTGATATTATTACCTTAATTCTGTGTATGATTGCATTTCAAGACTAAAAATTATTTTGGCACTCAAATTACAAAACTGGATATTTATATAAATTTACAAAATATAAAAATATAGAATTTACTAAAATATCATTAAAATTAAATTCTTAAAATTTTTGTCGTAAGGCCGGTATTCATAATCAGATCTTATATTCAAGATTGTCTTAAGTAGTCAGGAACCAATCAGAGGGCTGCATTAGCGATTTAAGACATTATTTAAGACGGTTTTAAAATAAGAACCGACTATGAATATCAATCTTAATGTATATTTACGTTACAGTCTTGAGACACTTTATTTACGTATTTCTTTGTTATATGAATAAATATATAATTTTATTAATAAAATATTTATTTCTAGAAATAAAAGGAGATATGATTTACTAAAAAGGGCATATTAAATCGATACTCGAATACATCGAAGTTTATTGTGATTTCATCTTTTCTCTGCTGCTGTCATCGTATATTTTGACAGTTGTGCAGATTGAGGGTTAATAGTTACATACTTATGAAAAAGTTATGTGCAGTACTGTGCAGTAATACACACTTGTGCAGTAAAAAATTTTGTTATAAAACTATCTTGCTCTTCTGCAATTTAAAAATAATTTTATGATTGTTGTACATAGATATTTATCAAAAATGAAGAAATAGAAGTGATTCTTACAGATTAAAGCATTATGAAGCAACGGCAACTTGTGTTTATTTTATGTGTTTTGACAAACCTAACTACGTTGTTTTGTGTCTCTGCATATACTCATGAAATTACTCGTGTTCAGACACTGCCTGCTTATATCATTGCTTCGAAAAATGATCTCAGCTCGACAAAATGTGGAAAGGAATTACAGAATTTTCGAAATGCTGTTGATCAACGAATACCATGGAGCTTGAAAAGTATGCACATTTAGGATAATAATCATAAATATGGATAACATATCTGATCAAGGACAGGAAAATTAGTCAAGAGCAATTCCATTAGCGTTCAGTCTATATTTAACAGTTCTACTAAAGATTTAAATTAATTTAAGTGAAATTTAATTTGAATTAATGTAGATAATATTAGTGCAACCCCTGTAAAAAAAAGATATAGACATATATGACTTGTAAAAAAAAAGTAAAATGTTAAAAGATTATAAATTAGTGGTGTTACAATTTCATATAATAAATAATAATTTTGTGTAATAAAATTCGTATTATATAATATAATAATATTTTACTATTTTTTTGCTAAGTTTTTAAGAACTTCTTCGTAAAATGTATCATAAATATTGTTTGTAACATAAATATTGTTTAGATTACATAACTTTTTTGCATCATTATCATCTATCTGTGATATTCTTTTTTATAGAATACGATTTTATGAAAACAAGAATATAATGATATATTATATTAAGACAATATTAATAGGTATCTAAAAATTTCAATAATGCAAAACGTATAATGATCTTTTTGGTACTCTTTTGTATAATTAATATAAATATTCAAGGATATTTGAGTAACAGTAGTAAAATTACTACATATTGATTTTGTATAAATAATAACAACTTAATTTTCATCTTTTAGTGTTAGATTCCAGTGGCGGATTTGAATCAGGTTTTCTGTATGGTAATACTTATTGGCTAGGTAGTCGTAGCCAGTGTCTCGATACGATGAATACGGCTCCTTTACAGATCGCAGAACAGAAAATATCAAATATTACGCTATATCGTGATCCGCATAAAGAGTTTCCGCCTTTCGAAGTAAATTACTTCGTTGCTCATCTGAGACATAATAGTACTCTTAAATATTATGTAAATGTATTTAACGAGGTAAGTTTATGAGATCTTCATATCATAAGGAACATGTTTTAAATAGAAAATTTATTTTAGGATGTGATTTCGCTCGGACTTTGTTTACCAGCATCGTGCACTATAAATGAAGTAATTCTTATTTTGGAAAGAGTATTTCATAATAAAATTACTTTAATTGATGATCTTTATTCCGTGGATTTCCAATTAATTCAAGTTAAAAATCTAAAAGATAATAATGAATGGCTATCCAGCAATGCCTTATTTTTGGTCGGGTACGTCTCGAAAAAAATATAAATAGCAATTATTTCACAATAATAAGATAAGTAAAAGAGAGATGCAATATTTAAAATAATTTTTATTGAAGTAAGTCAGAATTAGTAAAGGAAAATCACCGATATTGACATAGTTTAAAGAGACACATTCTTATTTTTCGGAAACTAATCGCGTTTTCTTAACTTGCGTTTTCTTAATGTTGATAAAAACATGATCTATATAAAATCAGCTAGAAATAAATTTTACAAATGCGAAAATATAATTCTTACGAATTTCTTTTGAGTATCAGACTGCTCCTCGCTCTGATAAAGTGAATTATAATTCATAAAATGTTGACATTCTAATAATTCTCTAATTTTCAAAAAATTCAATGACTTAATGAATCCAATATAAATAAAATGCCTATATAAATTAATAAGAGAGCGATAAAGAATTAATACAGAAATATTTTGTTTGTAGTATAGCCTTGGCGTTTACTTTTTTTATGGTAACAATTGGAACATTATATGATATATTCGTTCATCAAAAACATATGAAGGAAAATGCAACAAATAATGGCAGTAAGCATTATACTCAAAATCTCTAAAAATACTTTTCATTTTAGTAGACTACTTCGAGTTTTAATACGCTTAATATGTCTTTAACAAATCAGATGCACATTTTTCTTATTCAAATTGTTAAATAGATTTTAAATCAACAATTTTAATTGTTTTAGTAATAATCAATAATATAAAGTTTTTTTTTGTGTAACTATAATTCTACTTACGTAATTTTATTTGTATAAATAGTTTCATTTAATATTATTTTTACTTAATTAAAAAGCATCTTGATTTCTATATTAATGTACTATTAGAAATTCAGAATTGTGATTCAGATGTGAAATACGTATCCAAGGATATAAATACGAAAATAAATTTGTTTTCACATCAAGAAAATATAATTGGAGGCATCTTAATATGTTTCTCCGTTTATACAAATACGAAAGAAATATTTTGCACAAAATTAGATACTGGTACAATATCCGCCCTCCATGGCGTAAGATTTCTAGGCATGTGTTGCATAATCATGTCCCATACAATTGTTTATGCAATGGATTTTATTGGTAAATAATTAAAAATACATTTGAATGGATTTCTAAGTTTTTTATGCATAATGAAAATTATTTTGTGTACACAGACAATAAAATATGGGTGTGGAGGAGACAGTTTTACCATCTTAACAATTATATAGTTGGTATTAGAATTGTATCAATCGACTTTTATTTTCTTTTAAGCGGATGTTTAGTGACTTATATATATTTGATGAGCAAAATGAACAAAAGACTTGAGTCGACTAATAGAGAAAAGTTAATTGAATTATTTGTTCATATAATAAAAAGATTTATTCGGTATGTTACGATGTTTACTTTATTAATATGAGCAACAAGAAAAAATAATACAGTAATTGTAATGAAATTCTTGCTATTATTATTTTATTTTTAAGACTGACACCGGCTTACATGATGGTGTTAGGTATATTTCAATTAAGCTCGGTTTGGTTTGATAAGACGTCCCAATTTTATGTGAGCGAAAAGTCGCATGAAACTTGCGCTAAGTATTGGTGGAGAAATCTTCTATACATAAATAATTTTTTTGGTCTTGATGCAATGGTACGAACGCGCTTAATTATAATCAGGTTAAAAATTTATTAGGAAACATTAAAATTTTTATTCTAAAATTTGTATTATGTATACAGTGCATGAGTTGGAGCTGGTATATAGCTAATGACATGCAATTGTATGTAATTGCTATGACATTATTGATTTTATCGACTGCGTAAGTAAAGCTATTGACAAAAGTCTAATATGTTCATCGAATAAATTCTCAAATACGTACATATTACGAATTTCAGATATTTCTACACCGCTGTTACGATATTGGGTGCACTTTTAATTGGCTCAATTATTCTTAGCGGTTATACTTCTTACGTTTATGAAATTGTACCATTTCAGACGTAAGTTATTAACATATTTTGTTTGCAAGAATGAATTAAGAAAGCGGTCTTTTTATTTTATATTGTTATAGATTCAATGAACGTTCGAAAGAGTTTAGAGATGTCTTTTACTTCTTACCATGGTTCAGAATAAGTCCATACATTATTGGAATAATTACAGGTTATATTTTAACAAAAAATTTGATCTTAAAAAAGGTAAAGTATTATTTCTATTTTTATAGTTCAACGTATAAGTTCAATAAAAATTATAAGGTATAGTTAATAATTATCCAAAATGCGCATTATAAAAATTGATTAAAATAACAATAGAAAATCCACAAGTACGTCATTCATTGATATACTTGATTTGCTTTTCAATGCACTTGGTTTAATGTTTAATAAAATTTATATCAGGAAAAAACGTTTTTGATTAGTCTTTCAATCATGTATACATTATTTTTTTATGAGGTTTGGCATCTTTGATTTGGCAAACACATTTTAAATAATTCGAAAAAGTGAATAATTCTCGTTTCTTTGATAGCATTGCGGAATAACATGCTTATTTTCTATTGTCTTAAATAAATTTTCTAAATGTATTCGAACATTTTAATAATTATTGATTTTTCTCTGATAAAAATATAATTATTGAAATATTTATTAGGTGTTGGAATTAATTCGTAGCGTTTTACAATGAAAGAATGTTATTTATTTCACATGAGCATTAAAAAATACATTAATGAAAGTACTTCCCATCACTTGTAAAACGCTACGAATTAATTCCAACACCTAATATAAATTGTAACTTACTAATTTTTTTTATAAATTAATTAAAAACAAATAAATAGAAACGTTTTATAATAACTTAATATATATTTCAGAAAATTGTAATTTCGTGTTGGTGTCTTGCTAGCGCTTGCTATGTTTTTGTATTTAGTCTTTATGAGAGACACATGTCCGTTTTGGCTACTGCAATTTATATTGCATTGTACAAAATATTCTGGGCAATACCTATAGCATTAATTATAATAATATCTTTTATTAAAAATGGAGGTTCGTTTATTTATTAATATGTAGTTATATTATATTAAATTGGCATATTTTCATAAGTAACGTATTATTTTTTAATTAGTGTTTTAATTTAAAAACATGTATTAATAATAATATACGCTTGCTTTTGTTACAGACATTATTACTCGATCTTTATCATTTAAAATCTGGGTTCCATTTAGCAGACTCACGTATTGTGCTTATCTTTTACATCCTGTTATCATACGATCGATTTACTTAAGCCGTGAAACAACAGTTCACTTTGAATTTTTATTTATAGTAAACATACGAACATTTAAAATTCTTAACTTAAGAAATTGATTTAAAAAATGTATTTATTCCTTTTTAATTTTTATTTTCAGATGGTTACGGGTGTGGGATATATTGTGATTAGTTATTTTTGCTCTTACATATTGTCTGTGATAGCAGAAATACCTTATATCTTGTTAATGCGAATGTTCATTCAATATCGTATCATAAACAAGTATAAGTTTGATATAAAAATATCGTAATTTTGTATTTAAATGTATTGTATACGTATAAATATATATATATATATATATATATACATATACATATATATATACACATATGTGTATAATACTATATTAAAAGATATTGTAGCATTAATTAAAATTCATGTAATTATAAATTATTATACTTGTATACTTTGTCATTAATATTAATATATTATAATGATTATAAAAAATAACGAAATATTAATTCAAATTTGTTGCAAAATTATATTTTAATTTAATCATATTACAAATTTTTTAATTACACTATTACTACAAATTGCGAGGTTAAAAAAACAATTTTTATTTTTATTAAAAAGTTGATTACAGAGAATTATTAAGTGATGTATTTATTACGCTTAAATTTTATGAATTGGATTAGGAAAAGTAATTATATTAGAAATGAATGTGCTAAGTATAGCAAACCAGCTTCTGTTCTTCTATATACTTTCTATACAAGATTTTCTTTCAGTGAATTTTGAAACATATTTATATTTAAATTTATCTATTAAAGATATTTGATTTTTGCATATTTTTAGCAGATAATAGTACAAAAAATTTTTTACTATGTGAATCATTTAAAAAATATAAATAATAAAATAATTTAAATTTAAATAATTTAAATAATTTTATATAAATAATTTTTTTTGTTATGTTTAGCAACATAATAAAAAAACATTTATTTTGGTATGCATAAAGCCATAAAAGTACGTTATATTATGTGATAACGACAACGATAATTCGCGATTATTTACATATTTATAAAAAGTATACATGTTAACGATCGTTTACAATACGCAAAGAAACATTATTATTTTTGATAAATGAAGAACATCGTTATTTATTTGATATAATACTTACTCGTATATTTAATCATTTATTAGAATGTTCATCGCAACACACAACTGCTTCTTTGCTACAAGCTGATTCAATTTCCGATTCAATTTTCACTCCGCAACAACTTAAATACACTTTCATGATATCGCAATCGTATTTCTTCAATTCGTCCCACAGAAGCTCAATGAATATTTCTTTATTTGTATATAGTGGGCACCAAATGTATGCGTATCTACCATTTCCAATATCTGTATATTTTCCGAATAATTTAAATTTTTGTGCTATTGCACATATTTTATCCAGACGGTCATACGATACACCTAACATTTGTAATAATTTTTGGTTGTGATTAATGTAAATCTGTGAAAGAAAAGTGTAAAAAAGTAAGTTAAGTTTGTAACGATGTCATCGAAATTTTCACATAAAAACTAGTGTAAAAAAAATTTGAAAATAAAAACTGAAAGACGCAGCTACACATACTCTTACGGAAAAAACACTGAAAATTTTGAAAAAGTATTGAGTGTTATACAATTTTCAGCTTTTTTCATGCTTTTTTTCATAAGGGAAATATAAATGTAAGAGAATAATGTTTTTTGACTTACGTAAGAAGACTTACATTTAATTCCTCATTTTTCTGAGAAATATGTTTCAATGAGATATTATTAACATTGTACATTTTATTAATTTTTCTAAGTATATTATGAGCCATGATTGTTACAATATCAATGTTCTTTAAAATAAGGTTGCCAATTGTGGGAAAGATATTCATTAACTCTGTCACTCGTTGTGTCTGACAATCTAGATTTTGCGTTACTTTTGAATCAATTAATAGAATCATTATTTTTGGCATTTTATGCAATGAAATTAAAGTCATTATTCCTATTCGATGTTCTATTATTGAGCCATATACACAAGCAGTTACGTCGATCATCCCAGATGCGGGAGAAATTTCTTCGCAGCGTGCGGCATATGATTGGATCTTTTGGAAATCAGTGTTTTGAAATTTACCTGTAATACCCTTTTGTACACGTGACCAATGTAATAAGCATGCCGTGAGACATACTGTGAATGATGACAGACAGGCGAATTCCTCGTCAATCATAAATTTTGTGGATACATATATTTTGAAAGATGATATAGTAATTTGCTCTTTGTATAAGATATAAACAAGCAAATAATAAAATGTTTGTACAATTTCCTTCCGATGACATGGACTGTATAAACTGTTTGTGAATCGTACAATCTGCTCACGCAGTAGCGTTATATTTTGGATGGACTTGTTGTAGAATTTTAGAAATTCTTGTAAAGGTATGTTAAGATGTAAGTAGATTTGAGGAAAGTCTATTTCAATATTGTTTTTTGAAGGCAAGTGCGATAAATCGGTGAATGTCATCATGGTACGTAAATCTATGCTAGCTGTTATACTATTTTTTTTATGCTTTACCGCATGTTCACCAAATAAGCTCATCCTGCCTGGTGCGGATATTTTGAAATGAATCATTTTTATGAATACCAGTTTCTATTACATAAAATATCTTATAAAAGTTATAAAATCAAATCTACGTTGATCTTTTATACAAATTTTCATAATATATGAATTTAGAGTTGTCAGTTTAAACAAAATTTAAAATAATCCTGTTTTATCCAATTGTTCTCGTACTTACAATGACAATGGAAAAAAGTGAATAATATCAAATATTTTCCAAGGTTTTATTAACCTAAATTAAACGTTCTTAATTAATTAAACAACATTACATGAAAGGTTATTTATGCACTTTAATTAAAAGATATGTTACGCATAAAATGTGTTACGCTTTAATCTGATAATAATAATACTTTATATTGTTACTTACTTTGTAAAATGTGTTAATTTAAATGAGTTTTTTTAAAATAGCTATTAGTAACGATTATTTAGCTAAGTTGACTTAAATCTCCTACTTCTTGTAACAATGCTTACACAGTAAAGAGTCTAAAATCACTAACGGTTAAAAGCGAGAAATGATGACATGTATGGAGTAAAATATTAAATATTTACAAATTGAACTTTATTTTTATTTTCCTGTCTTTGAATATTTTATTTAAATTGTTGGTCTAGAGAATTACAGAGTGACTGTTGCTTTTGTAGAACTAAATCACTCTAATACACTTCTTAATTAATTCATTTTTTTTTTAATTGATGTCCCCCATCTGATAAAATTTAATTTTAGATATGTTTATAAAATGTATCTGAAGAGATAACAAGTAATTTTTTGTAACCGACAATGTCAGTTTTAGCATTTTAAAAATTGAAAAATATCGACATTTCGACATTTCTGTCGATATAAATTTTTCGATTGTCGATAAATATCTATCGAGAAATTATAATACAGTGTCATATAAAAATTCATTATTTATTATTATATATAGATGTTTCATAAATAAACATACATATATGATATAATTATATTCGTGAAAATTTTTTTATTTATCGTTTACAAGAAAAAATTAAGCATTAATAATACTAACGAAAATGCAGTTTTAAATAAAAAATGAATATTATTGATTTATAGATATGTTTACAAAACATTATCAAGATAGTAATAAATTATAAAATTAACATTACATTATAAACTATATAATTTCAGTAGTTACGTAAATTTCCCAAGTCTATCGGTCTTGAATTATATTTTATCGGTAAATGGGATACAGATTTTTTATATTATCATCAATAAAATGTTTCATTTTGTATAGAAATTAGCATTCAATAATTACTCCTCTAATTAATTTTTTATAAATAATCACGATTGAAATCTGTATTAACGTTGTTTTATCTAAAAAATGAAGACGTAAATATTATTACAGTAAATATATAATGGAATCCACTCAAAAGTACTATGAAAGAAACATCAAATGAAAGATACACTTTTCACATATAATAGGATAGCTTTTACATTGGAATTTAGGATTTAGGTGCGTATAGCTCACTTGTAACTGGCTATGGTTTGTCATTTACGTTCAATAAAAACGCGCGTGCGCCCTGCACCAGTCTGAGATACCCTCAGATATCAGAATTGCACGGGGCTAGTGCTCAATGGTAAGAGTGAATTTTCTTATCACGGTCATATTTTTCTTGATTGTGTTCGTACGAAGTGATCTGTGACGCGTGGAAAATGGACGAATTTACTTGAACATCCTCGGCTTGTTTTGCGTAAGATCGGTGCTTGGCTCGAAGGTGTATAGGCTGAAACACAATCGAAGAGACGAGAAAGGAAATGGAATGAAAGAGTGACTGGAGATTTAACGTTGTCACATTACTTTTGAGAAGGTTTTATATATATTTGTTTAGTTTAATTTATTACGATTTAATTTAATGTTGTATTTTTTGTATTAAATACTCTTTTTGTGATATTTCCTTAGTATATTGTGATAATACTTATATTTTTATATGTTATTTTATTTGTTTATGTTTAAGTTTAGATACAAATATATACATGTATACATATTTAAAAATAAAAAAAAAATATATATATATATATAAATTTATTATTTATATATATAAAAAATTATTTTAATCTTTAGTATAATTTTTATAAAACTTGTTGTATATTTATTAATTATTAAGTTTATTTAGAAAAACGTTAAAAAAAGTTTCGACAAAAATAGATTAGAAATTATTTCTAAAATAATGGTATCAATAATTTAGCTATATAAAACGTATTTAGGCGGTCCGTAATTTGTGTCGATTAGAATTTAAACTGGAATTTTATTTATAATTTTATATGTTGTATAATACAAAAAATATTTGTAGAATTAAAATACATACACAAACGTCACAAACATATATAAAATATATAAAATTATATATATCAAAACTTGCGGCATGTAAAATAAATAGAGTTGTATTTTGAAATCTGACATATTAAGACTGTTTAAAGTTTTTAATTGATGTTACATATAACATCTGATAATTAACACTATAGCAATTAAAATAGGGTTTATATTTTGTTATTATAAAAAATTATTTTTTATTTCATTACTTCCGTGATATTTTCTATTTTTTTGTACATTTCAAATTGTTCCTTTTTGTATTGGCTTATAAAATTATTTAAAATATTAGAGAGATGTATAAAATATTGTAATGATATATTCGTAATAATATATTCGATAATAAATTCAAGCTCTTGACAATTTATATTATTACTTTTGTCATAAATCGAAATATTTTAAATCAGCTTTGTTACTTTACGAATTTACAGATGAGAGCATTGGACACAATTATGAATTCAACTTGCGCTTACTGTACACTTGAACCACCCCCCGACATCCTTCACATACCCCCGCCACCATTCCCGGCCATTCTTCAACAAAGTTCTGATTTTTATCCGAGTTCTGATATCCTGCCATTCCCACCGCATTTAAATGACAGTCCTTGCAAGCATTTCTGCGACCGACGCTCCGAAGGAGTTCAATACATAGAAATGCCTCAACAAGGTTGGTAAAAAAACAACTATTTACATGAGAAACTAAAACTTAATTGGTTTAATATATATTTAAATTTTTATTAAACCATTTTATATAAACGCATCAATACTGGATAATCAAATTATTTTATACTTTATGAACTTTATTTTATTACTTTTTGAAAATTTTATATCTAAATTTAGATATATATATAATATATATAAATTTTTAGGGACTGTCTTTGACGATACATGGCTTCTGATTCTAATATCATCATGTGTTGGTGTCATTTTTATTGGCATAGTGCTTGCGACGTTGCTCTTAAAATGCAAATTGTAAGTATTATTTTATTTTACATGGAAAATTAATCTAAAAAAAATGCTATATCAGTAAATATAATTCAGACTAGTAATTAAATAACAAGTATAAATTATAAATATGAATCATGTATCTTTAAAATTTTTATATTTGTTTCAAAGACATTGAAAATAAATTATATTGTTTACGTCTTTTATAACTCTAACATTGAAAGAAAATCGCGGATAAACAAAAATATATATACATATATCCGCAATAAATTAAAAAAGCCAAATCATATTTAATTCTTACATTAATTGCAATGTTATTTAATAACAAAATAATATTGTCGCAAATCAAATTTGAATAATCTAGCTCTGTGAATTTCTATATCATTCAATTTTGCATAAAAAAATATGAAATGAAACAAGCAACGAATATAATAGCAACAGGAACGGCAAAGGCGGGGTGATTTCCATGCCGAATGCAAACTCCAGTATGCAGACGAAAAATGGTAGGCTCCAGAACGAGGCGGTGCTCTACCCTTGCGCGGCGGACACCATGCAAGATAGTCGAGTTATGTGGGCTACCCTTACCCCACGCGGGACCACAAGACACTATTTGGAGGAGCATACGTACGAAACCATCGGGGGTGGACAGTTCCATAAACGCGCCTGTACGACTACACCAACCGAACATGTAAAACTCAAGGCAATCTAACAATATGTTTATTGTTATTACACAATTGTCTGTTTCGTGCGTAGTCATTCTAAAAAAATTCTTTTGTGAGACCTTTAACTCATGAACATGCTTATTTTTTTTCTAAATCTTTAATTTAGATTTCAATTTAGAGTTTATTTTCCCTGACAAAGACATCAGAATAAATTTTTAAATAATTTTGAACATTAAATATTTTTATCACTGATCGTTAAGTCACAGATCTTGTAAAGGAAAAATTAAACTAAATCGCAATTGAGATAAAATTAAATGTAGTTAACAATGAATAAGTATGAATATTTATCTATCTGTTTGTACCATATAGAAATTTTTTTTTCTCAAATGAAAATCGCCCTTCATTCTCAGTTTTTATTGTTTAAGAACCATTGGCCTGTTAATATTTTAATAAGGAATGTCTCGAATATATATTTGCTTGTCAGATATCCAACTAAAGATTATATCCAACTAAAGAACTAATTCATTTCGTGTAAAACATATGTAAATATAAACTAATGCTTTTCTAGACGTATGCCGATCCACCAGCTATTAGTCCAGTGCAAAATCGTCCAAAGGATGACAAAGCTTTTGATAACACTGCTTTCGTAGATTATGAAGAGCCATTGTCTATCAAGACTGAATATTATCAGCTCAACGACGTTCTGGAACCGAATGAATCCGGTAATATAGCTTGATTGATACAACGATGCATTTTAAGAGCACAATTAATTTTTTTAAAATATGTCTTTCCAACGGATGTTCTTTAATTAACGTCACATAAAAATGTTCTAACGCAATTCTTAGTACACACAATGGGTTGATGTATTTTTTTTTTCCTATGTATTTCTTTTTTTTAATACTAGGAGTATACTTGGCTATACTTATTATTTTGTAAAAATATAAGTATACTTGTTGAAAAAATTTTGATTTAAGTTTTAAAACTTAAACTCTACCGTACATTTTGTGTTACTTTAACTACAATATATAGAAATATTTTTAATGTTTTTTAAATTTTATTTTGTAATTAAAAATACGTAATATATCAAATAG